AATGTTCAATGGTTCTAAATTATTTTCTCTCATTTTCTATGACTCAAGCAAGGGAGGTACATGATGGACCTTATACTCAAGTGCCATTTCTAGACCCTCATTACTGATCAAGTCACATGTCCCACTGTGCCCAATTCCCATTTACTCTCCCCAATAGTCCCTAGTCCCTAGCTTCAATCCTTCCAATTACCCCCACCTCTCTAAGGTTGGCTTTGATTCTTTTTTTCAGCTGGTCTTCTGCTATTATGATTAGTGTATTCAATCCATCTGTATCAACCACTGGACAACTGAGACACTGGTTTGGGTTCAGCAATTCAAGACAAAGCTTGTTACCTCTTTGCACCTCAAACTGCAAATCTAATTAGTCCCTTAGGAAGGTATAAGAGATAAGAACTCCACATGCTGGATTCTGATATCAAAAAGAATTCCTTCTCCAATTTGGTTTTTCTAATGATTGTTAAAGAAAGAACCACCCCCAACCCAGTTACCTCCCCCTCTATCTTAACACGTTGTCTCATTGTTCCATGCTTCTCAAAGATATCCTTCTTTTCTCAAAAACTTCTGTTTCCTGTCTCATGAGGGCCCTCATTTCCATATATTCTCTCTGGTATCATGAACCTCTCCCTCCTTGAAAGCACCCCATTCTTCATTTTCAAGTATGGTACCTGGCATATACTAGATGCAAAGTTAATGTCTGATGAATAGCTAAAGCTCCAGTTCTATATGGCTTAACTACTTATGTGACATATTTACTTTGTTATCCCATTGTTACCTCAAAATTTGTGAGTCTGGAACAGAAATCATTCTACCAGATTAGGCTCTTCCCCATTACATTCCAATTTCTTTCAAATGTACCATAATTCTCCCAGTTTCGCAAAGAATTTGTCTCCTTCTGTAACTAGCTAATTATTAACTCTGCCAAATTTTTTTCTTCACATTACTAAGCATATGGAAGGCATTCTGTCAATGTAAGGCTCATTGCATCTGTACAGCTAGGATTGACCCACTGAAATAGCCTCTTTAAGTCAAACTGCCTTAAATTTCTTAACTCTCCTGTTCATCCATTCATCCAATATTAAGTTTTCTTTTCCTGCATAATAACTTTTTTCATTGAGTATCCTTTACTCAAAAATGTTTAATGGTTAGTTCAAAGGCTAATAAAATCTTTCCCTAGGAGGGTGCATGGGGGCAGGAAAGATGTGGAATGAGAAGGACATCATTACCCTAGGTAATTACTGCACGTATGGTGGGATGCTACATCGTGTACAACCACTGAAATGAAAAGTTGTGCTGCAATTGTGTACCATGAATCAAAATGCATTCTGCTGTCATATATATCTAATTAAAATTAATCAATTAATTAATTAATTAAATCTTTCCCTAGCATTTGAGGACCACCACTATTTGAACTCAATCAACTTTTCCAATCTTATCTCCTATTACTTCTCTAGGGATAGTCTTCATCATGACCCAAATGCTTTTTATCACACTCTCAGTGTGTGTGTGTGTGTGTGCATGCATGCACATGTTTACCCGTGCACATGTACCCTCCCCTATATATCTATCTATATATAATTTTGCTCAGTATAGATCTTAACAACACTTTGGAAGCTTTCAACTCTTCCAGTCTGAAACTTCTATTGTACTTACAGTAAGTTCACAGATTTGGCATTATTTGATTACTTCATATACTAGCTTTAAGAACCCCACAAGATTTTTAAATCCATAAGGGCAGATCATGTAGTATACTTTACAGAGCCCAGCAGTAGGTTTACCAATGCCAGGCAATGTTTTCTATTCATTAGGTTAAAAAAACCAATTCAGTAAAGTGTTCATTAATCCTAAAATTTTATTACCACTCATTTCCCAAATAACAACCACTGTTAAACTGTACCACCTTGACTATATTTAAAGGTAATCAAAAGCTAATTTTAAAATTGTTTAGCAAAAAGTTTAAAAATTATTTAATGAAAGGTATAGCACAAAGCATAAAACAACATTTAGTACTCCAATTCAACATTTAACTTTAATTCCCCACCTAAATTTATGCGAGATCTAAAAATTAGAGTATTTGTCTTCATAAATGCTAATGCAAGTTCCAAGGGGAAATATCTTAAGCTTTTAAGTGTGATTTATAACTAAAACTTCAAAGAAAAAAACAGGGTTTAAATCATTAAAGAGTAAATATTTGGGTGGAAAGAAACAGGTTTATTGCTTTATTATTTTTTTAAAGTTATACTTTAAATATTGTTCAAGAGTTCAGCTCCTGGGGTGGAAAATTCCTTTAGTTATACACTAAAGAAGCAAGCACAAATTAACTACAAAAAATTAATACTCTCAACATTTGTTGTAATAGGGCAAAAATGTTCATTACCACAATATTAAGAAATATCAACAATATGAGTTTGAGTAACTAATTCATAAGGAAGAGTTTGAATTGGACTAAATCCTGGGTTTTCTCTGTTCACTCCAAGTTTCTTTTCTATTTTAAACTAGTGGCAACAGAAATTTCTTTGTTTGAAAGTTAGGAATGCTGAAGTCTTAAGTGATAGAACAGGTAGCTCAGCTTCTACTTCACAGCTCTCCTCAGAGGGAGAAAAACATTGTGGATAAAGCAATTTTGTTTTTATTTCTGGAAAAATCATTTTTCCATCAATCTTCATAATTCTCTAAAATAAACTGTTAAAAAGTTTTAGGCAAGTAGGCTACTTTGCCCTGATTTGTGGAAATACTATACATTAATTTCAAGAACACATGGCTAACTCAAGTTTTCCTCTAAAGGCCTAAAAGTTGTTCCCAATGTTAACAAAATTTCAGGCAAATGTTACCAGTTCACGATATATTTCTACATCTCATCTGCAATACTTTTGCAAAAGAATAGTAAAAGTCTAGGTTCAAGGGTCACACTGCATGCCATCAAATTTATTTTTAGGAGACTGTACAATTTCAACTATGGGAAAAACTTTTTTGTTTCACCAAGTGCTAAAGAATCACATCTAAAAAGAAAATGGAAATAAGAAGTCAAGAATTTGCTATTTTTCATTAAGGTGGGGAGAACGACAAATAGTCTTCTTTGCTGAGAGTTACCACAACTTTTAGAGGGCATAAATTGCAAAGCAAAATTTAAAATATGTGGTTCACATTCTAACCAACCTCAATTAAGATTTAAACATTCAAGAGATAGCCAACTTAGATGATTAAGCAAAGCAGGAAGCAATAAGAAACACTGAACAGCAGTTCTTAAACCATATAAATCAAATAAAATCAAGACAAATGAAATAAAGACAAGAAACCATTTTCTACTCAGCACACAGAGTTGCCCCAAATCACAAATGATGAACAGGAGACAAGGCTGATGCACGCAAGCAGGCGCACGCACACAATGGAGAAAGAAGCATGCAGACCCTCAGAGACAAACTTTACACATGTAATGTTCTATTCTCCACCCAAAGGAAAGGAGAGCGCGGGGGGGGGGGGGGGCGCATTACACTTTCTTCCAGATCAGATGGAGCAAAACGACAGTTAGTACTGCAAACTACAATTCTCTTGATACAATCAAAGGCACAACTGAATGAATGGGGTGTGGGGCAGGGTGGATGGAGGAAAGGGGGGAAGGGAAAGAGGGGGGAAAGTGAGAAGAAAGTTGGAGGAGGTACTTAGCAAGCTTGAATAGATTAACTTAAAAAAAAAAAGCCCTACTATTTCCTATTTCACATCCTCCCCTAATTTTTATGAAATATACAGGGACTTCCTGGGACGCAACCCAGACTAGCCTTCAATGCAGCTGAAAGGCCTAGGGCTTCAGACACAGCAGGAGTCCTCAGCTAGATAGATATATGCCCTAACACAGATGGCCCCTTTTGTGGGAAAATGATTTTAAAAATCACTTTTGCCACCGTGTGTAAAATAAGACCAATTGCTAAGGAAAGATGAATTCTGTGCATCAATCCACAGTGCTTTGATCTTCTACTAGAAACATAAGCTATGTACCACTCTGGACTTTTTTTTCTTAACTTGAAAAAAAGTTTGTTTTCTCATTTTCAGAAGATCATGAGGGACTGAGGCTTTAGTGCTTTTTAAGCTTCTGACTTGTTCTTAAACGGGTTGTTTAGGCTACCTAGCAAAAGGGGGTAAAGCGTGAATGCTTTAAAAAGTTAATTAGGATTGACATCAGATAGGCTGAAATGTACTGATTCTAAAACGTAACAGCATAAAAAAAGTCTCTGGATACAACTTTCCTTTAATAAAATGAAAATATAATGGGGGATGGCGATGAGATCTTGAGTAAGAAGTTGGGTCCCATGCAGTGGTCCCATGTACTGGACAAAAAGTTTCCTTTAATCACATGCAACAATCATCTTATGAGAAAGGCAAGGAGAGGGGGCTGGGAAATGATCACCTCAGCCACTTTGAATAGGACCCTGCATTTCTCACACCACTATGAGCCAGCCCAGGTGGGGGAGGGAAATACAACTTCGCCCTTAAGAAATAACACCGAAAGGGAAAAAGAAGTCACCTCACTCTTCTTTGCTCTACACACACAGGAAGAGCCCAATTCAGTGCCACCACAACCCCCTGTCTCGCCCCGCCCGAACTTGTGTGTGTGTGTTGGGGGACTCGCGCTTTATCCCACAAGTTCCGAGACACCTCCATCTCTTCCAGATTAAGTTCCCCCACCCCCAATCCTCCATGGTGCCACGCTCAACAGACGCAGGTGTCTCTGGTTCTGGCCTATTTTTATACCCTCCCCCCCTCCCCCCCAGCAAACCCCGTCTAGTTGCACACCCCAGTCCCTCCCTGATTGCCCAGCGCAGAGCACGACCTAGCCTAGACGCCAGGAAAATACCTCAAGCCCTACTCCAGGGTCACCTGGCCAGAGCGCTGGGCCCTGCCTTCAGGGGAGACCTGGGGCCGCCCCTCGTCGCTGGTGCCTAGTGCGGGACGCGCACTGGGCCCCCGAGCAGTCACGTGGGAGGGAGGGGAGGCCTGGGCTTCCTCACCTGCATCCCAGGCACTTGGACAGCCACCGGTGAGTGGGCCATGAAGGCGACTTCTGCTCTGCACTGCTTCTGCGGTGGTGGCGCCTTGGGTTCAGGCTGGCTCCTCCTACAGGGGTAGCTCGGCGGCCCTCCCAGGCTTTTCGATCGGGGCCTGGAAGGACACACAGAAGTGGGCTTACTGGGCTCGTGGCTTGTAACCCCGGGCTAGGAGGTGGGCGGTTCGCGGCGCGGCTCCCTGGGACTCAGTCTACCTTTCTGGTGCCCGCCCGCCGCTGTGGCCGCCGCCTCCGCTGCTGCTCCTCTTCCTGAATGCAGGGCGCTGTGTGTGGCGGTGGCTGGGACCTGGGCTGGAGTGATGCCGCTCGTCTGCGCCTCGCCGCTTTAGGAAGAGGAGGTGGAGGCGCCCCAGCAACCCGCCCGCTCGCCTGGCCTGGGAGGCGGTTGGGGGCGGTTCCGCAGTTGGCCCTGCCCCCGCCCGGCAGCCGGGCGGTGTCGGGGGAGCTAAAGCTCCAGGCAGCGAAAGGGTTTGGCTGGGGTGGCAGGAGCCTGAGAAGGGGGGAATCTCCGGGCAAGCGGAGAGTAGGACCCCGAGAACGGGAAACCTGGAACACAACTGGGCCTGGAGAGAGAATGAAAGAGTTTGGGAGACCCTGGGGGTATGAGGGTGTCCCAGACGTGGCCACGTTGCAGGCAGGCTTGCGAGGCTAGGGCACTTGAAGCCTCCGAGACGTCTTGAGCTGAAACTTGGGGAGTGTTGGAAGTTTTCCTTGGCTCCTCCACCTGGCCGAGGGTGGGGCCACGCAGAGTCGCGGAGTTGGTAGACCCCAGCTCGTTCTCAGCGAACCGTGTCCTCAGCCGCGGGCCGAGCCACTGGGCAGATCCGTAGTCTCTCTCCTGCTTTCCGGTTTTCCCGCCCGCCCACATGCTTCAGGTGACTTCAACCTGAGGCTTCTCTACCTCTTGGACTACTCGTTGGGAGATGGCCAGGCTGGGCTTCTCGGCGCCAAGTTCTGCACGTGTGAAGGAGAGGGAAATGGGAAAACAGATGGTATATCGGCAGAAAAATTAATGAGGATAATAGAGGCAAGGGAAATGAGATTGGATCATTAGCAGCAGCAGTACATGTTATTGAATTCAGCATACACAGCCATGGTTTCCGCAACTCTCTGCCTCCGCCCAAGTTTAAATTCCACTCCAGGAACTCTTTTGAGACCCTGATAATAACAAAATAACAATGATATTAATAGCAATTACAGGAATCTCATTATGAAGGCACTTTTGGGAACACACAACAGGTTAATTACATTTTTAAAACATAATATCTAAGAGCCAATCTTAAATGAAGATGAAGTTCCTTACCTTGCAGTTTGTTAGGAGTCTGTGTACCCAATACAGTGTAGGAGGGGCTCAAGTAGACACTCAATAAATTTTATTATTTTTAATGTTTCTCAGAGAATAGCATAGGGTTATTATCAATATCACCATCATTGACATTGTTATTGAGGCTCTGAGGATTGAACCCAGGGCTTTGTGCAGACTGTGCAAGTGCTCTACCACTGAGCTACATTCCCAGCCCAGTATCGTTGTTATTAATGAATCATTTGTTCTGTGCAGGCCAGTAACCACTAAACGCTGTATGTGTGTTGCCTTATTGAATCCCAGCACATGCCCCCATTTTACAGAAGGAAAAAAAAGCTCAACCAGGTAAATATTTTAATCAAACACCAAGAAGTTGTAGAGCTGGGAATTCAGACCCAGGTCTCTCTGGTGATCAACTTCCTACTTCCTGTATGGTTTTTGTTTGTTTTAAAAGGTGATAAAATTGCATTTTCCCTACTCCTGGTTCCCCAAGTCCAGGTCCTTAGGATTTCTAACCTGATGATAGCCTCAGTCTAATCTTTATTTCCTAGAAGCCTTGCTCACACTTAATGCTAGCCTGGCCAGAAAGCTGCAGTGCCTCCTAAACTTTATTGACCATAGAAATTTCCAAGGGTTTTGTTGTTGTTGTTTGCTTTAGTAATACTGGGAATTGAACCCAGGGCCTGGCACATGGTAAGCAAGAGCTCTACCACTGAGCTACATCCTCAGCTATGCCCCCACAGCTGATTTTGATCCCACAAGTCTGAAGCAAGCCCTAGGTTCTGCATTGCTAATAAGCTCCCATGTGGTGCTGATTCTGCTGATTCTTAGATCACACTTCGACTTAGCATGGATCTGAGTCAAGCTCCATCATTTAAGACACACCTCAAGTGAGCCCATTGAGCCTTCCTTGTTGCTCTAAGCCCCCCTTCAAATTCTCCTTATTGTAGGTTGGTGGAAGCAGCACTTACATTGTAGTTCTTTCCTCTTATTTCATGTGTTTTTTTCTGTCCATCATGATTACTAGATCCTTGAAGTGACAGATTCAGCTTCGCTTACATGAAAATTATTCAGGTAGAAGGGTGGCTCTCCAAAGCAAACTTTTTTTATTGTTTTGTTCATTGTTGTAACCTCAGAGCGTAGAACAGTTTGTGGCACATGGTAGGCTCTCAACCAGTATTTGTTGAATGAATGAATGAATGAACTTCCTTTGAATTTTTCATTGAGGGTATTAGGTGCATAATAGGTACACCGTATGTTTTATTGATGCCAGGCTAAACTCCTAGGAACTGCTCTGCTAAACCTTTAAATTGACCACTTAATGTGTTAACACTGTTCATTTTTTGCTTCCTAAATTCTTTCCAGTTTAATTTCACAATTACCTAAGAGCAAAGTGTGTGTGTGTGTGTGTGTGTGTGTGTGTGTTTTTCCTGGTGCTGAGGGGTTGAACCCAGAACCTCAGGCATGCTGGGTAACTGCTCTACCAGTGAGCTACATTCCCAGCCCAGGATGTGTAATTTTATTTTTAATTTTTTTAATCTTTTTTTTAATATTTATTTTTTTAGGTGGTCACAGTATATTTTCATTTTATTTTTACGTGGTGCTGAGGATGGAACCCAGTGCCTGGTGCATGCCAGGTGAGCGCGCTACCACTTGAGGCACAACCCCAGCCCCAGGATGTGTAATTTTAATAAATAAGTAAATTAAACATTTTAGACAAGTGGTTTTCTCTGACATCATTCTGGGCCAGAGTTATGTTATAATGTGGAAGAATGAATGCTAAAGTTTGAGACCTAGACAACTGAGATATTTCCAAAGAGACACTGCTTAGTAAGCTTTTTGACTTTTATTCAGGACTAGTAATTTTAAATAAACCATCTCAGGTTGTTATTTTTGATAGATATAGTTTGGATTTTTTTCAGCACTGGGGATGGAACTCAGGGCCTTGCACATACTAGGCAAGTGCTCTACCACTGCACTATTGCCTTCATTTGTGTTCTTATATGAAGTTCCTTGTGGTTTTTCTTGTACCTTTTCCATTATATGTGCATGTATGTATATGTTGCACATATATGTATGCATGCATAAAAATCTTGTGAAGAGGTCAACATTTGAAAACAATTTAAAGTTTAAGAGCACTAGGAGATTTTTTCTGCCTTGCATTATCTAAAATACACAAGACCACAAGTGACTTCAGAATTTTTCTGGATTGGGGCCTTTTGCATAGACTTTACCAGTTGAGCATTGCCTAATATGAAAATCTGAAAACTGAAATGTTCCAAAATGTTTGAGCACCATGTTGACACTCAAAAAGTTTCTGATTCCAGTGTGTTTTGATTCTTGGATTTTTCAGATTAGAGATGATCAGTTTGTGCGTTAATACCACACCTATGCCTCTTGGTAGGCATATAGGGTGTAATAGAGTACCTCACATAGATTTTGGTACATGCTTGATTCTTGTGACCTGAGTGACTATGAATACTTAGTAACTATATAAAATGGTTTTACACAGATTGTGCAGTCATTGGATTACAAATTAATATCCTTGAGCTCAAAAAAACTTTATTTAAATTTAGCTTCTGTGGTTCCAATTTCCTGATATTTGTCATACCTTTAACATTAAATATTTAATGTTACCCATGTTTATAAATATTTACTAAATGGACTGGTTCATAGCTAAAGTGTTAAGTAGATAGAAATGACCAAATATTAATGGTGGGTAAAGGCCAGAAAGGCTAATTATCCTACAGTGCACAGGACAATCTCCACAACAAAAAATAATCTAGCCTAAAAGCAAATGAGGCTGAAGCTTGAGAAACCATCTGCTACACTCTCGATATTAGATGCTATTAAGAAACAGACTTGGGGTTCACTGTTCCTTGAGGATTTCAGTTTAATGTGATATCTGGGGCCATAAAAAAGTGAGTAGTGGAAACAAAGCCAGTCTACTCTTTTTGTTTGGTGGGTAGGTACTAGGGATTGAATCCAGGGTTAACTTACCACTGAACTACATTCCTAGCACTCTCTATTTTTATTTTGAGATAGGATCTCACTAAATTGTCCAGGATGGCCTTGAACTTGAGATCCTCCTGCCTCAGCCTCCTGAGTAGCTGGGATTACAAGTGAGTGCTACTATATCCAGCCAAAGCAGTATTCTTATGTTAACATTGTACTAAACCACAGGTCACCTGCCCCCAAAGAGTGAATATAATGACAAGAAATTCAAGTATGCTTTTGTTACCCCTGCTTCAAAGTAATATTGAACAAAAAACAACTTTAAAGGAAAAAATTGACTTGTTTAAAAAACAGTCACTGAAGGTGTTCTAACATACCAGACATTACCCAAGAGCCTTCAAATATGGTAACTCATAAGTTAAATTTGACTTTTAACTTCACTTTACAAAATTTAAAGATAGTGTTTCACATTTTGAACTTTCACATTTTTAGCCTAATGACTGTGTTAAAATATATAAAATGTGTAAAAATATAATGGTAAATGATACAATTACCTGGATTTCTTTCCATTATCAGGATATTTAAAATGAAGGGAAATGATCTGGGCAATTCTAGAAGCTCACCATCCACTGATAGAAATATTTTGATTCAGGCTATGAAACTCTGTACTGATATTTGGAACTACAGCTTTCAAGTATCCTTTTTTTATTATTAATAAAAGCATATGTGATACCTCACATCTCCTCTTTACTCTCTGTGGGTATCAAATTGGAAACCATGACATAATAGTTCTTGCAGATGTTGTATCCTCACTATAGTTCCAGCAAAGCATCCCACGGAAAAATCTATTGAATCAGTTCTTGGTCAGGGAACATTAAACCTGTATAATTGCTGAATTCTCTAGAATAACCTTGTACCTTTTGGGGCTTACACAATACTCTATCATAGCATCATTTATAACAGAAACCATACTATCTGAGACTCTGCACAGCTGAATTTTCTCACTGGCTTTACTTCCTGACACTACTGAGGGGAATAGAGCAACAGAGGAGGTGGGTGGAAGCAAATGCTGCTTAAGTGGTTTCCTGCTTATAGCATTTCTTAT